GATCTTCTTCTTCTTCTTCTTCTTCTTCTTCTTCTTCTTCTTCTTCTTCTTCTTCTTCTTCTTCTTCTTCTTCTTCTTCTTCTTCTTCTTCTTCTTCTGCTTCTGCTTCTTTAAATAGTTTCGATACTCAAAATAAAGTTTTTTTTAAAAATTGAGACGAAAATGTTCTCATGATACGTGAATTGCAAGATTCTCTCATTTGCATCTATTTGTGAAATATTATCTTTACAGGGGTAAACGCAAGTGTGAAGCAACAAATTGTGACCATGCATAACCATTTAAGAGCTGGAGTTACTCCACCTGCAACAAACATGTTGAAAATGGTAAGCTGTTTACAACTTACTCATTAAGACTTGTGTAAACAGAGGGTTCTTGTAGACCTTCGAGGAAGCTAATGATTTTGTGTCTTTATTATTCTTAAAATAGATGGTAGTTTTCCTTAAGTGATCACGCCAGGATTGTTTTTGTTCATTTTCTGTAGTGTTGACTGTTCAATCAATCAATCAGTCAACTTAATCCATAATCAGACAATTAGCTGCCTTTCTGGTTTTGTCTAGTAAGTGGAGCAATACATAAATTATAAATATGTAGTAGATTATTCTAGTAAAACTATTCAAGCACGTTTAACTGAATGTCTGATTCTTTGTAAACTTTTCCCGTTCTTATTTGTTTTTGGGTTTTTTTTCTTTTCTTTTATTTGGTAAATATTACACTGCACTGTTCTGGATATAGAGCGCAGGTTTGGGCTCTTGGCCTTGTAAACAATACAGTTGAAACTTAGAAGTGTGCACTATGAATATGGTATGCTGTTCAAAACTTATTTATTAAGTGTTGTTGGGTCGGTGGTCTAGTGGTTAGGCACTTGGACTTGCAGCAGTAAGGTTGTGGGTTTGAATGCCACCAGGGACCCGACGTTGTGTCCGTGGGAAAGGCACTTGACACGAATTTTCCTCACTCCATCCAGGTACGAATGAGTACTAGGCTATAGACAGCGGACGATCTTAGTTTGTTAGTATTTGAACACTTATTCAGCTGTTTGCATCGTGTACTTTCTGGGAAGTCGAGAACGTTTCTTAGCGTTCTAACCCTACGGGTCCACTGAGACGGACACGGCCCGATCTTTTGTGGGGAGGAAGAAAATCGGTCGGGTCGTTTCCGTCTTGTGGGTCCACCAGTTCGGACAAGACACGTCTAGTCTGTTGTCCTACTTGCTGTATTATTCCACACACTGTGTCCCAAGGCTGTGTCCTCGGTATAGGGCTATAAATAGTTGAGGTCAATGGACCCAATGCGGAATGAGAAGTGAATTGGTTTTTTAAGGAAAATTGTTAAAATTGTTAAAATTGTTAATATGCATTTATACCAGGTGGTTTGCGCACATACTTTGCTAATTTAGAGGCGCTGACTACGAATATGACATTAGAATTTTAATCCGAACTCAAAATTAGAATTTGTTTTCAGCTACGGCGGGGCCTATGGCTCATGAATCACGACCCGGCCCGGTTAAAATTGAGCAAGCGGCTTCCCAAAAGACACGTCTTTTATCGGGGTGTGTCGTGTCGTGTCCGTTGACACAGCCAAACAGACTTTTCACTGATTTCTTAGGAAATACACGGTGCTCCATTTCAACTACCAAATTTCCGAGAGACGGACGGAATCGGGTCGGTTGGTGTCCGTCGCAGTGGACACCGTCGCTAAGGTTTTGCTGGGTTAATAACGATAATATAGCGCACAGAGATTGCTGGATATGGTCTATACAAATGTGATTCTTAAAAAAATAAATATTATGTCTGTGACACAGGGACCTCAGTTGGTATCATATTGGACTATGGAGTAGACGGCCCTGGTCCGAATCCCAGACTGGGCTTTCTTGAACTCGATCGGGTCGTCTTGTGGGGTTTTAAAGGTTCTCAACCCATAATTTGGCTCGGTCATATAGCCAGCAGACGTTAGAGAGTCTTGAAAAAGGACTTAAACCCAAACACTAACTTCAGTGGAGTCCGCTTAAAAATCTGCGGGACCTCCGGATTTTCTTTGGATTAATCGAGTGTTCGGTTAAGAGAGGTTGTGCAAATAGAAGGAAAGTAGCCGTGGATTTTTTCTTATGGTTTACCGCTGTTTTTGCATTAACGGTGTTCGGTATAAGCGGACTCCACTACTGTACTTTTTGTACTTCTATGACGCAGACGTGGGACGATGAGCTAGCTATGCTGGCCCAGAAGTGGACGGACGCCTGCAGCAAAGAGAGTGGCAGGTTCCACCATGACAGTGTCAGGGACATACCAGGTGAGGACATCTATACACACACATGCGCAGTGCAATGATGCACGCTATCTCTCTCTCTCTCTCTCTCTCTCTCTCTCTCTCTCTCTCTCTCTCTCTCTCTCTCTCTCTCTCTCTTATCTTTCTCTCTTGCAATT